TATTTGTAGTCGCTGCGCCGTAATGCTGTTGCCCAGACAACTGTGCCGCTTAATAGGTGACTTGCTATATATTGCCGCCGTGTAATTGCTTCGACTAAACTTACGAATGTGATAATAAAATGAGGTTAGGCTGAGGTGGATTACAAACTGCCGTTTCACTATGCATATTACAAATCAGTACAATCACACAGGTGTAGACTAGAGGATTTTCAGAGGATTTCACACCAAGTAACAGGGTTGAATACGCGGTTTCACGATACACATATAATTCACTTAACCAAACAGAGGTTGTGAGCTCACGAGAGCCCCGTTTCTTACCGTGCGAGTTCTCTTATACCTCCCTTCGTTAACGGAGCGTGAAAACCTCCCCCCAATATGTTTCTACCCTATCACTGCTGACTACTAGGCGTAGTAGAGGGCGTATATAGACTTATTGTCTGTGTCTCAGTTTGATTGGAGTGGGGTAGGTAGATGACCAATGGTGAGTATTGAGTGGCAGATGGCGTTTACGCCCTCCTCTCCTCTCAGCGCCTGTGGGATGCTTCGTAGCGTGGCATTGACGTATGACCTATACGTAATGCTGCGCTCTCGCATCCGTTTCCTGCTAATAATCACTTCTAACAGTCTGCCCGTCCATGGTAGAAATAACTTTAGGCTACATTGTGTCGTATTTTTACTGGCCCCCGAGCACCTCGGACCGTACCCCGGGCAGTGTCGGACCCTCTAATGCGCCTGCTCATCTTAAGTCACGGTCTTCTTCACCTGTTGGGCAGCACCCGCACGCTAGCCAGTGATGACGCTAATGTGATGGTGCGTGGGCGTCAGTGTAGACACAGGCTGGTTGTGTAGCTCGTTTAAAACAACGCCGCGTTGTGCGTAATGGTGTATGTTTGTTTTGCCGCCGACCGCTGCAAGCGCGCACACCAAGTCGTCGTGGTGATGCGCAGCGCACGCTGTGATGTCTAAGTGTTATTCGTTGAAAAGTTCGACTGCTCACTCTAGGCAGTGGATGCGCCGATCTTCCGCACGAGCAGAGCCTGCGCTAGCGTGGTGTATCTACTGCGCTCCGCCCCCGCTCGTCCGGACTCATGCACTGAACTAAGTCACCTCAGTGTTTTGCTGCCGCTTCCGCGCAGTTAGAATCCGTCTCCTTGCGGCTGGTGTGGGTGTAGATTGTATGCTTGTTTGATGTTCTGCTGCGGGTTTCATAACCTAACCTCAGCTCTTGTGCGTGAGCTTGGTACGTAAAATGCTATTCGCCCCGGGCCCGCAGTGATATTAGCGTTGCTGACATTTCCCCCCACGCCAAGGAACGACCCCAATGCCCCCATTGTCACTGCCACGCTCCGAGTGCTCTAGTCGAAATAGGGTGGTAACAATTCCGTATGGAAGCCGCAAGCCGGAATGGATGTAGGGTAATGTGGGAACGTAACGGGCTAAGCTGCTTGATTCACCGTCTGGACGCGATACCCCTAGATTATTAATACATAATTAAGGATGCCCATTACAATTGACAATGATTGACAAATCTTAAATTAACAAATAATCGTTTCATCTATTGGAAATCTATACTCCCAATCTATCACCCTTATATAAAATAAATTAATTGATAGGTGAAAATGATGTAAACACTGAAAACCTCTGTTGAATTAACCAAAGAAAGATATTTTATAAATTTGAAATAAATATTACATTGAATTTAATATATATAATATAATTAATAAAAAGCCTTAATTGAAATATTTTGTAAAGTCAATTAAATATGAAATTGATGATGACATAAAAAATAATATGTTCGAATGATGAAGGGGCCTAGGCATAGGTACGGTAGGAAGATGCGCACCGTCCAGGCAGTGATTTAGGGAATGTGAAGAAGTATTCCCTGAACTTCTCAGGAACAGTAATCCTCCCCTCGCGTCGCGCCCACCCGCGGCGTAAAACAAGAGTGACCCTTAAAACCTGACGACCCACCAAGCACCCGGGAGAGCGCCATGCGAGATAAGAATAATCAAAAATCTTTTTTTTTTTTTCTCTAAACCAACCAAACTTTTCTTCTTTTCTCCCATGTCGCGCGCCGCCCCCGCGGCTCGGGCGCCCGCCCAGCTCGAACAACACTAAGACGCAAAGCCCAAACACAGAAAAAGTTAGCGGGCGTACCATAGCGGGCTTGCAAAATGAAAATTTCAAACCAGCTGCTTCGCTAGACATACTTTACGGTCATCGTGGGGTGTATTTCTTGACTGGGCCGAGGGCATCGGAGCGCGCTACCCCCGGGCAGTGTCGGACCTCCTATGTTGTGGTATCTAACGACTATTATGCTTTGGGCGCAAGCTACCCCGCACGGCTGCAGCCTGCACGTGGGATGACCCGGTCTAGAGTGTCGTCCGGGGGGTCCCGCCCCCCAGCGGGCCCGCCCGGGGGGGCGGCGTCACTGTGGTCAGCGCCTGTAGAAAGGCAGGCTGCGTTAGCCCTAGCTGTTTAAAACAACACGCTTCGCTCCTGCTCCACATTGTGTATGGTTGTGTTTCCTTTCGAACCCGACCGCTCAAGGCCCAACTAATTGTTCTGTGATCCGCGAGCTAAGCGGAGTGCACTGTGTCTAAGGGCTGGTATTCGCTTGGAAAGCTTGATCCGTTGTCACTATAGGCACGTGACTGCAACAGAAGCTGCGCCTACGTGGTGTTATCTATTGCGTTGTGCGTGGATACTTAATTTTACCAGTTGTTTGTGTGTCCGCGCAGTACATCGTCTCCTTGCCGTGCTGGTGTGGTGTAAGATTATGTTCGTGTTGTGATCTTCTTGACCTGGCCGGTTATACCTTAACCTCAGCTTGTCGTGTGAGCGGTATTAATAATGAATTCGCGCGCCAGTGATCATTAGCGTTTGCCTTACCACATATCATATCTTAATTATTATTTACGTTATCGATTACATAAGATGTTGTTATGGTAATTCTACGTAGGAAAATCGTTGTTCTCACAGTGTATATGACCCTATACGTAAGGCTATAATACGCCACAGTATGACTATCAACGCCGGATTGACTGTAGCTATTAAGTAAACGTATGAACACATCCATCCAGTCTCTCACTGTACACGGCCGCGGCGGTGGAGTTTGCAGTTTGACTATAGACATATTCGTAGGTCGTCCACTCGCTCACCCGACACGTGTGGGGCCCCGCGGTGACCGTGTGTACAGCTCATATTGTGTAATGTCCGTAGTCACCACACCCCTCCCCGCGCCGGGGGCTGTTGGTACCCTGACTGAAGGACTTGCGGGCTGACACTGCATCCGGAGCAAGCTCCCGGGGGCGCTGCCCGCGGGGGGCTCCCGGGCACTTTCGCACGGATCATATATATATATATATAGTGTGTGTGTGTGTGTGTGTGTGTGTGTGTGTGTGTGTGTGTGTGTGTGTGTGTGTGTGTGTGTGTGTGTGTGTGTGTGTGCGCGCGCGCGCGTGTTAACCCGTGAGAAAAAGGTACGAAAATGGCTTCATGCCAGCGTGAAACAATGCAGCGTTCCAGCTAATTACTCATTAGATTCACATGTGTGACACGTTTAGTGATTTACACACGAGTGAGTGTGGACTGAGCAATTGAACCTGTGGAGGGTGAGCTGCTCCTAGATTCTGGAGAAAAAATGTAATATCCATAATAAATTTAATAACCTTAAAAGCAAATTCAACAAACAATAAAGCAAAACATGCGGCTACAGCATATATAATCACATCATCAAGTGTAAATACTATACAAACTTGCTCTCGATATAGTGCATGTGTTTGTATCCTGAAATCTTACAAATGCATTCCTTCACATGCCCCTGTCATAAATTGACAGTTGTGACATTATTTTCACATTTTTACTGGTAAAATTAAAACTTCAATACCAAATTTATTCTCAGAATGTTTATTGATTCAAGTTCACTACCAACTGCTTTACCCCGAAAGCACAAATTGACAAAAAAGAAACACTACTATAACATGGCAACTTTACAGTGCATAAATTACATCTGATCCTATAAAACATAATATGGCACTAGCTTTTAGCTACCTGAACACCACAAAGGGCAGCACAAGTAGCGAAACCAATAACATTAGCAAATTATTTCCAGTTTTTATTTTTTCTGTATGGATCACATACACACTAATTTAACTTGCGAAATTTAACCAAAGGCTAAAGCCTTTCGAAATTTTATCTTTTTATAATTATTGTATAATTCATATATTATATCTTTCTTAAAACCTTTAAAATTGGAAGTTTTGATTTATAGAAATAAATATATATATATATATATAAAATCACACTAAATACTGAGTGATTTTTACCTCAATGAGCAAGGTTAAGGAATCTTAGCTATAAACCAAGTCAATACGTATTTATAGTAAACCCATTTCATCAACGCACCTCTAATACATACAGAGGATGGTTTCCATACAACAACGTTGGAGTTTCCCACTCTTTGGAATGTGTTATTTGGATCTATAAATGATAGGTGCTTAGCAACTCAATGAAACTAATGTCAGAAACATGGCACTGATAAAACTACGCGAAAAATCTGATTATGATAATAATTCTTGGGGTGCATATCATCTCAAGTTCTTTAGTAATTGGACAACAATGAAAACATAAAATTTCCCCAAACGCGACACTGTGTTAACATGGCACCTCTGCTCTGCAACTACACCAAATGCTTAAAACAGAAGCTCTAACTATCAGGATTATTATCATAACTTACTTGAAAAAAAAATTGACTGCATCTGTAACACATCAGTTATTAAATCCGGCATTCAGTGCAGCTTACACAAATCCCACATAAGGCACAAATTATTAATGGCAAAAGGTTGAGCTATTCTTAGAAAATTTTTAAATTGAGACTATTTTAATTAGCTCAAACATAAAATCGTGTTCACTACTGCACGATTCCTTTTGAATAGGATGATCGATCACGAGGTAGCAACATACAAAAAATATATCACCACGTATTTGGTAAAATCACTTTTGTCAATGAGGCACGCCTCTAACACGAACAGAGTTTCTAACTCTTCGAAATACCTCATTGGGGTCCACATTAACATTGTTAACATTGAACAACTCGATGGAACTAATGTCAGAAACGTTACCACCCTCTGATCGACTGACCACCCGAGCAAATGCAGGCATGTACCCGCGCCCATCGGTATTGCCTAGAGGTGGCAGCACGATGCCAATGCTGTATGCCAGGCGGTCCATGTCGTCGACGAGTGCACGTATTACGTAGTGCAGCATACTGTAAAAGTCTCCGTCCGCTGCGCGGCTTATGATCACGACCTCGTTGTCCTTGGTCGGCGTCAGGTGAGCGAAGGCGGTGGCGGCGCCGTACGAGACGGCGAGGCCGAGAGCCTGGTGAATCTCCGTGAGGTCACTGAAGTAGTTGCGGCCGGGGTGTCGCCTGTGATACACTTCGGCAGCGCGGCGCACGTGCTCCATCCGGTTGTAGTAGCGCTCCCTGGTGATCATTCCGTGCACGTGCGGGTGCACCTGACTCGCGCCTGCCTCCGGCAGATTGTCCCAGGTCATGTGCGGGTAGCGGTACTCGGGAGCGAGCGAGTGGACCTTCGCGAACCACGTCGAGGCGGTGTTCTCGAACAGGTCGCGCAGCATCTGCTCGCTGACGTCGAGAGGGTGGTGCGAGCGCGTCAGGAACAGCGAGTGCCACACGTCCAGCTTGAACGCGTTGGCCGCCGAGAACGAAAACGGCGACTCGACACGTCCAAACGTGTCGGCTGCCGTCATCGTCATGTAGCTGCAGAAGTCGCACGTGCCCTGCGTGCGGCGGGCGAGCTCGTCGACGCGCGCCACGGCGTCAAGCGAGCGTCGGCCCGTCGTCCGCCGACCACGCAACGGATTAAACAGTGTCTGCTCGCCGGTCAGTTTGTTACGAACCTCGACGATCCGCTGTGCGGCCATCTCCTTGACCAGCTCGCGCCGACCCAGCTGCACCAACATTTTATCACGGAATGATTGCGACATGTACAGATTACCCGTTGTCGTCGTAACGCCGAATATCGTGTCAAATCGCCGCAGCCAATCACGACACTCGCGCTTGGAAGAGTTGCGCCATGCAGTGACACGGTTCGTGAGGTCCATAAGTTGAAACGCCTTGAAGTCGCGAACGCCAAAGCATGACGAGTAATACCACTCCGGAGGATTGAGCGCACGATTACTGTAAGGCGGCCATATTGAATAACTTTCTTCTGAATCTCGCTCCCCTTGTTTCCATTCCTCGTCTGTTGTGGCAGGTGGTGGTAGTGGTGTAAGGAGATATAAGCAGCCGACTGTGACCAGCACAGCGAATACAATTATTACGAGAAATAACAGTTTCCAATTCCCTCGGTATCTTACCACCATGTTCCATGCACCTGTGCACCAGTTCATTCCCCAATCTCCCCGAGTCACATGGCACCTATTGTCTTGACATTCTTGTTCAGCACAAGGACCAACCATGGCTATACAGTTTTTGATTTGCTTCACAGAAATATTTGAGCTGTCAAGCTGCCATATGATGACATCGTTGCCTTTCGCAGTTCGTGACTGAAGAGCAGGTGCGGCCGTGCCTGCAATCAGACAAGTTAAGTGGCATTCACGTGATGAAATCTTAGGACCATTAAATTGTGTCCTAAAAATTGTACAATTTATCTATTTTTAGTATACGTAACGGATTAGACACAATTTATTGGTCCTATAAAAACCTACAATGCTGCTGAAAAATCAAGCTAAATTGCTAGCGTATCTGTATTTTAATAATTTTAACTCTGTTTCTAAAACAATGGGTCGCACCATTACATAAGACCACGCACCACTATTGAGTGATGTGCGAAGGGCACTATATAACAATGACTTACACCTATGTCGCCACCTTCGTGATTATTTGCTCCGTGGGGGGCAGGGGGTGGTAGTTCTGCTCTACATATTCATAATCATAACAGAGCTGCTGTCGTGGTAGTGGTTAGTGTGTCGACTGTTTACTGTGGAGACTGTAAGTCCAAAGTCCAGTCAGGACAGTGAATTTTCTCAAGGTGTGAAAATCCGACTGTCATTGTCAATATTAGCTAGGTACCGTGTAACCTTTGTCACTCGAATGACTATGTAAAATATCATACAGGAGATGGCAAACTGCTGCAGAATCTTGCTACAAAAAAAACAATGTAGAATATCTACCTTGGCTTAGCACAAGTTAAGAAATCAACACGATGAAAAAAGAAGAAGAATATTCATACTCCATTTTATCACATAACATAATCTTCCATCTAGTTTGTTCTGAAAAATTCCTGATATTTTTAATTTATATCTTAAATAATTATCTTAGTCATTTAAAAGTATTAGTAAGTACCACGGTTGAATAATGACAAATCCTGTTATTATTCACCCGTTAAGTATGTATCTATATTTACATGGACACAGCATTACCTGGTTATGAATTGAATTTGATTAGCTCAGTTTGCTTTCTAATTTTATAAATTATCTGTTAATAATCTACTATATACCACAACTTGTATAATTACAACTATAATTAAGCGATTTGTTGTGCTATGGCTACCGTTAATAGTAAAAAGTGTTTTGTCTTGTGCAACCCCTGCTAATTAGTAATTACCTTCAGCTATTGTGTCAATTCGCTTAGCTAGCTACACTGAACACTGCAAGTTTAGGCTGAAAATATGGCACACACTGCACTCAAGTGGCAGTTTGACTGTTTTGGTGTTGTGCCAATGTTTAGAAAACGTTGGTGGCAATAGATCATTTCGCTGTCCTGCTTCATTATGCACTTTCTATCAAATGGATCATTTATCGAACAAAATTTGCCACTATATGATAAATATCACCCTATCCTTACGGGCATTCATCAATATATGTATATATATATATCTATGTTTATTCAGCATTTGATTCCCCTATTTCTGACTTTTAAAACAAGCCCGATTTGCTGTTCTGTGTCTGCGCATAAAACAGGATTGGCAAATAAGTTGACCATGCATTAAAAATAGGATATATATATACATCTTATATAATCATCGTATATTAATTATTGTAGTCTCACACTCACAGACGCCGAAATGTCTTCCTCTTAACACAGGTCAAAAATACCAACTTGACGAAGCAGTCAGTAGACTTAGTTAGATTTACTGCAAAACCATAAATTCACATATAAGACACAATCACGAATAATCATTATAAATGACAATCTCATCAGCGAAAAAAATACACGGGGGCTCGGGGCGATTTAGCCCCCGAAATGCCAAAAAGAGCCCCTGTAAATTTGCATAGAGTTCAATGCAAACCAAATTTTAGAGTGCTAATCATGCACGCGAGCTTGAAAAGTAGCCCCCGAAAAATAAATTATATTTTTTTCCCTGAATCTCATGCTGTAGTCATTCCCACACCAGGTACTGCCACCTACGCTAAGAAAGGCACACTAAAATGCTTCCCCTGTCCCCGCTGTATAAAACGTATACAGGCAATCTTATACACTCAGGGTAACAACAACAACCTTATATAAAGATTAATCAGCACTGCCTTACAAATAGCAGGTATAAAGATTCTAATAAACATCGTGAATTATATAACAAAGCACGGAAACCCCCGCGCTGAATCCACGATGGTCATCACAAGAAGGCCAAACTTCTTGGGTACAAAAATGCCCAGAATTACTCAGTATTGCACAATGTCATCTTACAAGACTAACGTCACTTTGATATATACACTCTACTCTATCAACATACCGATCCATATGTCCTAGAAGCTCTTGTTAAAACAAAATATCTATGAAAATACAGGCCACTTCGCAAGAAGCTTCCCTGTCTACAACTCAAAATGACAAAGGCCCTGCGCGCGCTGGGCATCCTAAACAAAAGAGCAATCAGTAAAGTTAAAGGTAGTGTATCCGCATTAAAGGTAGATTGGCCGCTACAATTATATTATATCCAAGATATAAGTTATATCTTGTCTTATATATATATATATATATTTGAAACCTGCCTAAACGAGCACAAAAAGGACGTAGATACCGTAGCTCCTAAATAATTTACGAGAACCCAGTGAAAACAATCCGCTACCAAAATAAACAAATCCGCAATCACAGACCATGTAGGGACCGCCAATCAAACCATCGATTGGTATAATTCGAAAATTATCGATCATGAGCCAATAAGAATCAACTAGCGTTGGATTAAGGAAGCCCCCAAACATCAACCAAGACAAGGGGGGGGGGGTACAGACTCAGTCATGTGTGGATCATGCTGTTGACCACTACACCATCTGGTGGTCAAATCTGACAACGTCAGTCAGCTTTGAAAATGCCTCCTGTTAAGACGCGAAACGTTAGCAGGTACGTTTGAACCTCATTGTTGAGTAGAAATCAACGAAGTTATCTCACTATATCTACATATATCATAGGCAGGTCCGTCTCCAGTAATAGCCGTGTTAAAGTAAAAGAACTACTGATGACGCAGAACACTCTGATGGTGGTAGTGTCCACCCTCGGTCTCATCAAATAAATTTTACTGTCAATAGATAGAAGTCCTAAAACGACATCATGTAGATAAATACATGCTCTACCCTAGCTGCAAGTTACCTTCTCGCTTTTTATTACGTGGCATTGATGAAACAGTTGTAGAGCCCGTTCGGCTAGCTCTAAGTCTAAGTCTAACCATTAACCAGGTTACATTATACTACAAATAGTAATACTAGGGCTGAGAGGGTCTATGTCCCCCAGGGTACTGCCGGAACATAACCTGGGTACAGTCCGGTATACCGAAACGTACCCTGGTACTATCTAATATGCCGGACCGTACTTTGCCTACTCCACTAACGAGTCTAGGGAGTCGCCTACACCTACTCCCTAACCCTATCAGATAGTTACCAGAGTACGTTCCGGTATACCGGACCGTACTTTGACTGTACCCAGGGTACGTTCCGGCAGTACCCTGGGGGACATAGACCCTATGATGAGCAATACTAGGTAGCTCGACCAGGCTCTACGACCGTTTCACTTCGTAGGACCTCCCGCAACGTAGAGTCAGAGGGATGCGAAAAAGTAATTTGTGGCTATACACTATAATAATAATGTAGCCACAAATTACATACATGGTCTTCTAACCCTATAGCAAGACAGTTTCTTGCACAGGCACTTGGACCGTTTCAATAATAAAATGATGGTTAATAAATACAACTTGTCAGTACTATAGACCTACCAGTACCAGTGAAGTAATACTAATAGTCTTAATGTTTGATTTGACCTAATAACTTCACTTGAATACCGTCCAATACACCGCTGCAACACATAGCCGCGCACGCCATTGTACACAACCTACACAGTAATATATACTAGTAGTAGTATAACCTCTATATTACTGAGAGTGTAGGTACGTGAACAAATGGCGTGCGCGCTATGTGCTGCAGCAGTGTATTGGACGGTATTGAAGTGAAGTTATTAGGTCAAATCAAACATTAAGAATATTAGTATTACTATTACTGGCACTGGTAGGTCTAGTACTGACAAGTTGTATTTATTAACCGTCATTTTATTATTGAAACGGTCAACAGGCACTTGGACCGTTTCAATAATAAAATGATGGTTAATAAATACAACTTGTCAGTACTATAGACCTACCAGTACCAGTGAAGTAATACTAATTCTAATAGTCTTAATGTTTGATTTGACCTAATAACTTCACTTGAATACCGTCCAATACACCGCTGCAACACATAGCCGCGCACGCCATTGTACACAACCTACACAGTAATATATACTAGTAGTAGTATAACCTCTATATTACTGAGAGTGTAGGTACGTGAACAAATGGCGTGCGCGCTATGTGCTGCAGCAGTGTATTGGACGGTATTGAAGTGAAGTTATTAGGTCAAATCAAACATTAAGAATATTAGTATTACTATTACTGGCACTGGTAGGTCTAGTACTGACAAGTTGTATTTATTAACCGTCATTTTATTATTGAAACGGGTCCAAGTGCCTGTGGTTTCTTGGAGCTAAATTATGCTGAGAGGGTCTATGTCCCCCGGGGTACTGCCGGAACGTACCCTGGTACTATCTAATATGCCGAACCGTACCTCGCCTACTCCGCTAACGAGTCTAGGGAGTCGCCTACGCTTACTCCCTAAGCCGAACCCGAACCCTAACACTAATCTTAACCCTAACCCTAACCCTAACCATATCAAATAGTGACCAGGGTACGTTCCGGTATACCGGGCCGTACCCAGGGCACGTTCCGGCAGTAACCTAGGGGACATAGACCCTATGAGTATGAGCCTAAATTATAGCTAGAGAAAGTACACTACAGACTCAGTTCTCAGTGTACAGAGTCTACAGTACAGACAATTACCTAAGTAAGCCTAGCTTAGTACCCTGGAATAGTTTAGCACATATGCGAAAACACTTTTGCGGGGTTCCAAACTATCCATGATGATCCGAGACAATTGCTAAAGAAGCCTAGTTGTAAATTGAACCATTTCAATTTTTTGGTTGCCACCGCGAAGAGCAGGTCACCCAGGTGTTAAATCATGAGCAGCATTTAAATCACTTTTGCTCTGCGCTGTTACCGCGCCATCTGTTGACCACAAAAATAAGGCAGGCACCACATTCCGGCAAACTATATTATACTGTATATATTATAAACTCTTAATCATCCTATTATGATATAATTCTAATCATTAACACAAGTACTATAAGTAATTAAATAATCTAGTATAGCCATTTGTAGTTGCATATTATCAGATGATATTATTCATTTATTGACTACGAGGCCCGTTCCGCTTTGGTGATTTTTCCTGTCAACAGGTGACGCAGTGGTAGCTATGGCAAAAAGCATGTAATGAAGAGGTTAGAGTGTGAGGTGTGAGTCTGACTGTCACTGTCTGTGGGTATAACTATAACCTAGTACTAGAGCTAGGTATAACCATGACCGTATGTTATTGTTAATTTTGTAACATTATAATATTTCATTACAATTACTTTACTGGTCTTGTTTTAGCGAAATTGCTTATTTTATCCCCCATATCTCTCGTGTATTTATGTAAAGGGTCTAGCTACTTGGTTTTAAAATATCAAAGCTCCAAGAAACGGTATCTCCAAGAAACGGTATTGCTAGGGTTAGAATACCGTACTGTATAGACAATTCGTCGCACAGCCTTGTCGGGCTAAGGATGCGTGTAAGTTGTAACAGAAGTTAGAACACACCAACACTGGCAACAGACACAGGGGCCCATTCCTATTTGACAACCCCAGGTTTAAAACCCTAACCCTAACCCTAACCTAGCCACAAGTTCCCATCTCGCTTAACACTACGTGGCGAGAGGTCCTCCGCCGTGTAACTAGTCGGAGAGCCTGGTCGGTTTAACCCTAACCCTAACCAAACTCACGACATGGGTGTGTAAACGCTACTTGTACCGACACGGGCATTTGACGACAGTTTCCTGTCAAATCCTACGTGCAACAATTAATATACGCTGCCGGTGCCATTGCTTTCGCGGCTCCACTGTTGCACGCTTACACTTACAGTTACACTAATATATTATATATAGTATATATATAGTTTATATATAGTATAATAATCTATATACAGTGTATAGCATTGCACAGCTGGAGGCCGCGATAAAGCAATGTCCGCCGCTCAGCGATTAATTGCTTGGTTGCACGTTAGGATTTTGGACTAGAATTGCGACAGGAAACCGTGTCGCAATAATAGGAGTGAAACTGGACAAGAGAGTGTAATAGAAACACTAAGAATTTGGTAGTCTTATCAAGATTTCGTATTTAGTTAGCATTATACTTTTATTTGAAATGCTTCAAGTGGGCATGTGGCAACAGACTACTCCCAGTACTCGAATCATCTACATTTCTACATTTACGGTGCACTACAGCGCAGCACAGCAGCAATTGGATACATCGCAATGTCGCTCTCTTCAATCATCTCTTTAAACCGCACAGCCACCTCACAGCCTCTCTCGTCTCTCTCTCTCTCTCGTCTCTCTCTCTCTCTCTCTCATCTCCTCCTCTCTCTCTCTCTCTCTCTCAATCTCACTCCCCTCTCTCTCATCTCTCTCGTCATACTCTCTCATCTCCTTCTCTCTCACGTCTTCCATCATTCTCTCTTTCTTTTCTTAATATCCATCTCATCCTCTCTCTTCCCGCTCTTCGTCTCCTCTCTCTCTCTCTCTCTCTCCTCTCTCTCTCTCCTCCTCTCTTTCTCTCTCTCTTTCTCCTCCTCCT